CGAAGACCTGGCAGCAATCAATGTAAGCACGAGAAACTCGAGCCATGCATCGCCCTCACCTCCTCAGCTTCAGGAGCGCTGGCGGAGAACAGCCAGACGCATGCCTGCCGGCATGGACCATTGCCCAAGGCTCTCAGATGCTCAAGGACATCAAAGGCATAGAAAGATGCCGGGGGGGGCACCGCCACGGCAAGGACGAACAGCACAGGGCGTCGCGCGGCCATCGTGTCGGCTAGGGCCTTGGCGAACGCGCAACACTTTGCACTGGATTCTCTCGGATCGTCTCGGACATCCCCGGCATGTGCCTAGTTCGCAAGTCGACTGGCCGAGTTCAGAGCTTCGACTGGACGAGATGCGTTGGCAAGAGCTCTTTGCTTGAGCCCACAGGAGCCACGTAGACAGAAGGAAGCTGAAAAGGTGTATGGAGACATGCAGCCTTTGCCAAGAGCAGAAGAACAGCAGAGAGTGGAGACAGCTCAGGCTGCCGCATCCGATGCTCAGCATCGAGCAGACCTCGTTGACGGAACACCCGGAACAAGTACAGATCCCGTATATTGTGTTTGTGGTTATTCAGTCGTAATCATAAGCGACACCACCACACCCACACTCGAAACATCCCGTCGGCTTTTCGCGTTGTAGCTTCCTGAATCTTGAGTTGGGGATGTCCATAATTGAGGGGAAGTTTTCATAAGGGGATTCTACTATATTGGGGTCTATATTGTGCCCCCCTTAGTTATGCAAACTCCCAATTAAGCCCCGGGTTACGATGATTCAGCATCAAGGCTCCGCATCTAAACACTAAGCATCGATGAAACCCTGAGGCTTCCACGCCATCTCGCTCCTTTGCAGCCAAGGCTGCAAAAGCGGCTTAGAGCCAGAATGGCGATCAGCAAGTTGTCCATCAACGAACCGACTGGATTCAGATTCCCCCAGCTTCGGGCATGCAAGACCTAAATGGACAAGTTGACCACCAGCCGTGTGTCGCAAAAAGCAAAGGCAAAGTGGTGATCTCTCCGAAAGAGCTGGGAACACCGGGTGTCTTTCAATGCGACAGTCAGGGGTTTTACGACTGCCAGTAATTGTATTGGATTTCCTACGTGTTAATTGTCCTGGGAAGCAACCGCGGCGAAGTTTGCATGCTGCTGCTCGCAGGCACTTCGATCTCCGTTTAGGGTCGAAGGTTGTGGGGCAGCAACAAGTTCCCGATTCTTCACAGCCTTGCTTCTTGTGAAACATGCTTGGGCATGCGAGTCTACAGCAAGAGTGTCATAAGTTTGCATGATGTGTTGCCACGCCAGGCCCCTTCGGTTGAAGAGAACACACGCTTGCGTCGGAAAGCTGCACAAGTTCAGGCAAAAGCTTTTTCAAGCTCAGACCAGGTCTTTGAACTCTCCGAACAAGAAATGTGCGAAAGACTCAGAGGCAAAGGGCATGCAGAAGGTGGACAAGAACATCGATGTGTGTCGGCGCCAAGACATGGGTCAGAAACAGAAGGCTATTCAAGCTGCCATGCTTCTCTGGTCTGATTGGTGTCACGGGTTGAAACACCTTGTTCAGATGAAGAGGGATGTGCAGACAGATCCATGTGTTCAAACTGCCATGCAGCTGCCACGCGGCAACAGTATGGGGACTAGTGCCGTCTTTTGCAAGGAACATCTGACCATGTTTTTTGTGCTTGAGGACAAAGACAAGAAATAATGGTGGCGAATCGAACCTCAGACCTATCAAGTGTTGCCGCACAGTGAGGCCAATTCGTTGATAAGACTCATGCTTGTCTGCACCGTTTCCTCGGCTTGCACATACCTGCCACATGGGTTCCGTATGCATATGTGACTGTCAAGTCCTAAATGCTATGGCAAGAAAGGGCCCGCCAGCTTTTTCGTCGGAGAAATGGCGACATGCTTGAGACAAGCTCTTGAAACTGTGGATGTTCGAAGGAGCTACTTCCCTGGCCAGACCACTGCAGGCGACCTCGGCAAGATCCACTAGTGATGCCAACTCGACTGCCACGACTCTGTTCAAGGCTAAGCTCGAGACATTGGTCCCCTTCCCAGTCTTCTCAAGACGTCGGGTTGGAGCACTGAACGAGAACCCAACCCCGGAGGGGGTTTGAGGCAAAATCTTTATGAACACCCATGGACCATTAAATGAACTCACAAGCCCCTGAACCATGAAGCTGTCGGTGCTGTCTCGGACACAGGTGTTCGCGAAATGAGGCCACAGACAATCGTCAAGTTCCCAGAAACCAAACCAGGAGCATCGCACCAGTGCGAGAATACAGCAAGAATCCAGGTCGAAGAAACAAACTAGCACTGTACTTGCTAGGAATAACAGAAATCGTAACAATAACTATGTTATGCAGTAATCACGCTTGAAGCAATTGTAATGGTCGCCGACATGCAGTAGCCCTGTTGGCTGCCAATTCCCAGCTGATCCCGCGAGCGGCTTGGAGAGGCAGCAGAGGCTCGGCCCACCTTATCAAGTCTGACATCTGTGCTCTTGGGCAGAACGTGCGAAGGACCGTGGTACCGAGCCTCTTCGCAATAGCTCTCAAAGCACTCAATGAAGGTGTTGCGCACTCGGAACATGTGGGTGCCCGTCGCACCTTCACAAACGGGGAGCTCGAATTCTCGAAGCTGCATTCCATTCCGACCCAGTTCGCTCGACAAGGCACCCTTGGAATTGTGCTGGTCTGCCGGAGCCTCAGAATACAAGACTGGCCAGAGGGATAGGTCGACTCCACGAAAGTGTTGCGAACGATGAATTTGGGACTTCGGCCTGGTGGGAGGGCTTTTGACAACCAGTTTGATCCTCCACGAGCTTTCTCCGCTCAAAGCATGGAACGTCACAGCGCGCGTGACAAACACATTGTGCGGCTGCTCGCTGAGGGCCCGGCAGTGAGGAGAGTCGGAAATGTTGCAGCCTCCAGTGCGGAAGGCGGCCAAGGCAGAAAGGCAGTGTGCGTGTGGATTGTGGCCCCACTCACACAAGCAAGAAGCCACAAGCACTCACACAAGAAGAGAGCCTCTTTGGGCATCATCGGTGGCCGCAGCAAGTAGAAACTGCATCACAGTCTACAATGCACCGTTCTGAGGATGGTGTGCCCCTGCCCTACAGCACCGGGTGCATCCTTGACGGGTCCTTGGCAGCTATCTCACAGAATCTAACACAGACCGTCACAGCATGCTGCTACTCGCTGTCAACCTCCATGTGTGCACCTCAAAGCGATCAGGGCCCTGCTACGGGAATTCGGGCCACAAAGTCTGGCGATCGAAATTTTGAAGGATAGGTTGGAATCCCCCACATGAACAAAACAGTGTGAATGCATGAAAGCTCAGACCGCGGTCGTGTCTTGGGGCTTTGCAATCAGGACTTGCAACATGTTGTTGCAAGAGCAACAGCGTTCACTGCAGCGGCAAACTGTTCCGTTGGGCATGAAACCATCTGGAACAGACTCGAGCAGGTCCCCTTTATTTTGCAGCTTCGCACCATCGAAACGTCCCCCTTGGAGTAGATTTTGCATGCGACTCGACGTGCAGAACACGTGCCTTGGATGCCGCATGAAGCGTGCGGCACGAGAGCTGAGTCAAAGAGATAATCGAATTCGCAGCGATGTGCTGCCACTCATTGAATTCACCAGCTGTGCCAACTTCTACGACTACACGGATTTCAGTGAGCCTCCTCGAAGCTTCTAAGGTCCAGCCTCCTTCCTGGCTCCCCGTACCAGAAAGGCTTGAAATCAAATTTGACCAATGCTGGAACGACAGGCGCCAAACGTGCATGAGATAGTCGCTGCTTTATGATTTAGCACTTGACTCCGCCGTCTGTCGGGGCATCCATGCGCTAGCATGCGTCGCCGTCGGCTATCAGCATCAATCGATCTTGGTCCAGTGCTTCTCTTGGCGGCTAGAATCATCTGTCCGTGAGGGAGCTGAGTGAGAACGCGATGTCGGTGAGGACTCGCCTCGAACCTTCGCGCGAAGCTGACCAACGGCTAACGGCTAACGCAAAAATTTCTGAGCTCGTTCAAGACAAGGCTCCCCGTCACAATTGATGAAGGTGCGCTTCACAGAGCACCAAGGCGGCAAAGGTGAGATGTGATGAGCATCGGCCACATCCTGCTGACAAACTTTGTCGTCAGAAGAACAATCAAGGCGAACCCAGGAGCACGGCGCAGCCTGCTCCGTATCGTCATTCGTCTCCTGCTGCAAATTCCTGGAGGTGGTGGGAGCTACATTTGACAATGGAGTGGACACTGTAGAACAGCATGGTATACTCACCGTCACTAGCCCAGCCTTCTCGGCATACGCTTCACCGGTGTGAGAAGCTCTCCTTGATGAGCGGGATCTCCCAAGTTCTGTGCTCGTGGTGGTGGAGTCTGGATATGACTCGAAGAGATGTACATAGGAGACAGTGCACTCAATCCCTGCCACGAGAGCATTTCATGCTCCTTCTCCGGAGCTTTGTCATCAGTGGCTGCCGATGCCGCGTGAGAACAAGACTTCAGCATGGAGCCGATAGCGGCTTCAGAGTGGCGCAGCACCGTCATTCTGTCCTCCGTCAATGCAAGTCTTGTGTTGACAGGTGGACAATGGAGTGCCTGCAAAGCATCAGATGCACAGTGCGACGATTCCTGAAGGGTGCGGATGTTGCATTGCCGCCGGCGCGGCATCGTTCTTGAGAAACTGAGATATCCACAGCCACGCTCCCAGTCCTTAGTTGCTGGGATTGCCGATCTTGGATGTTGCCATGAGCGCGGCGAAACACAGCAGCTAAATGTTCCACCGCGATTCTGGTTGAAAGTGAAAGCGAGCCCGTACGAACGGCTGCGACAGCAGCTCTGTCATCGATGTACATCCGAAAGCTGTCTCGCTGATTTCGGCTCCAAAGCGACCACCTCACTGCCGTCAAGCGCACATGTTCAGGACATCCTCATGTCAGCATGTGGCATGGCTTGGAGTGAAGGGGCCGGTGGGTCATTTTGAGAAGCAAGGAACGGAAGAGGCGTTTAATGTCCGCCATGCCAAGCCATCCCCGCTGATCCACAAGCAGATGGTGGAGGCAGTCACAGAGGACTTTCTCATCGGCAACCTTGGTGCCAGCAAACCGGTCCTTCAAATAGTTGCCGTCATGCACCGAAGCAGGGAATACCAGGGTTGCAGCGTATCTCTCCCCAATGTCGACACCTGTTGGTGCGCGCAGCAGCACGTTGCTCCTGACAGCGTTGGGGAGCACAGCCTTCTTTCGGGGAGCATCTCAAACCAAGCTGGCCTGCGAATCCAGTCTTCCGATTCACAGTAGAGAACCAGCCGGCCTTTGTTCTTGCCTTGACGCCACTGGGAAGCTTCATCGAAGTGATTCAAAAACACGGAACGTCATGCCGTTTCAAACAAGCTTCCCAGGAGATTCAGGACGTTGTGTGCCCGCTTCACGAAGGCCAGCATGCGGCCGAATGAGCTCGGCTGCCTGCACGCAGCCCTAGCAGCTTTGTAGCGTGCTGAACCAAGACTCGCAAAGACCAGAGCCCGAAAGCACACGTGCGTCCTTGCATAGCAGCACAGCCAGGCAGCAATCTCGAAAGCCTCCCGAGAGAAGAGACTCTGCTCGAAAAGACAACTCAAAGAGCGACCGCAGACCGCACGCCTGGTGCTCAGGACTCGACGCCCAGGGCCATCCCCCGGTTTCCAGCATCTCCCGTAGTTCTCCCTCACCATCCTGCCGGTTTCCCCAAGGCTAAGGTCAAAGCTTCGGATGGACTGATGCAGAGGTGGCGTGCCGCGCAACTTGAGAGCCAATGGCATGGGCTGTGCGATGTCCGTGCTCTAGACTCTGTAGCCACTGTAGCCAATCTGACACTCATCGTCCGATGCACTCCGATGATGACTGCAGGAAATACTATCACGAACAAGCTCAAGCATTACTGACGCATGTTTCCCACTGCGACCTGTTCCTCCAAGACGTCGGAATCGTCCACAAACCCAGTGAAGCCAGCAGGGGCCTCCTGAAAATCGCGATGATCCACGAAAGTCTCCCTGAGCCTCTGCTTCGCCAAGCTGCCGTGAAGAAGACCGAGAACTTGCTCCTGAGAGCTTCTCCGAACAGTGAGCAGACTCTTGTCCGCTGGGGCGGGCACCCGAGCAGCGAGAATAAAGCGGCTTTCTCCCCGAGACTCCAACAGCGCGGAGTTTCTGCAGGAGCTCTCGAGTCTCGAGCTTTCCCGGTTCAGAGGCGCACGGTTATGCGCTTAAAAGTGTATAGCTCTCGCCGTCACTTCTCAGTTGAAGAAGTAGCTGGAGAAGAGCACCTGGTCAAGGACACCACTGAATAACACCCCAGTTGCCGCTGGTGCCTCGCGTTCACTCGGTGCCAGCTATTCGCTTAGGCCCCGTGCCGAGAGGATGCAAATCAGCAGCAAGCCCCAGTAAAGAGAAGTCCTGCGCGATGCGGAGATGTGCGCACACTGGCCCAAAGAGGAGCGTCAACATGACCCAGCCAGAAGCCAAAGCTCGGATGCGTCTCCTGTTCAGCTCAACCTGCCATGCTGGAAGCGCAGACAGCCGAGAGAGCGCAGGCAAGATGATGCCGGCATTCCAAACAGGCCAAGAGCTGCCGGCAGCATGGCATCGTTGGGGCGAGGCTCCGGAAGAGCCTGTCCGTGTAGTCGTCTGCTGCGACTGGCTTCCCTTCGACGCTTTCGTGCCACTGGCCCTCCCAGCCTTCAGCACCACCGGTGATTCCACCGCAGCGAGCTCGATGCTGCTGCCGGCAAAGGCACCTGCCTGCAAGTCAGGCCGGTCAGGGCTTTGGCGGAAGTAGACAGAATCCGATGCAACAGCCTGGCCACGAAGGGCAGGGCTTTGGACCACGAAGACCTGGCAGCAATCAATGTAA